ACCTGGAGGAACGACACTCAGGTAGATGATGCTGATGGGTTCATTAACTAGATTAGCTCTCTTCCTGCGGTTCCCTCCCCTCACAAGGACACGACACTCGTATGTTCCAGTGTCATTAACCGTCACATCCTTCAGAATCAAAGACACGTCTCCATCCTTCATCTGTCTGTCCTGCAGATCCACCCGGTTCTTAAACGATGGATGCTGGTTGCTTGGAATAACTTTTTCATCCCAGTGAAAAAGGACACGTTCTTGCTCCAGTTCAGGTTGGATCCACTCAACGCCTTTGATGGTTTTGTTGTTTGGAGCTTGACATGGTAGAGTGATGTCCTGTCCAGACTCAGCTGTGATGTTTTTCTGGTCTGAAAAAGGAAACAACACATAGCCGAGATGTTAAAGTAACTAAAACAGCATCCAGTGAGACAGAGACCAGAGCAGAGAGCTCAGGGGGCTGTACAAGGAACTGAAATTCATGAGTTAATGCACTGTTTTGAACTTAAAGTTCCAGTTTTCATTGGCACAGAGGTGGCTCTATTTTAATCCAGTTCATTTCAATTTGATTTAATTTCATCTTTATAGCCAAAAATTCCAACAACAGTCACCTCATGGGACTTTATATTGTAAGTTAAAGATACTTTAATAATACAGAAACTCTAACAATCAGACGACCACCCTGTGAGCAAGCGCTTTGGCAACAGTGGGAAAGAAAAACTCCCTTTTAACTTGGGGAAACCTCTAGCAGAAGCAGGCTCAGGGAGGTGCGGCTAATTTGAGTTGAGGGGAGAAGGACAGGACAAAAGACATGCTACAGAAGAGAGCCAGAGATTAATAGTAACAAATGCTTAAATGCAGAGAGGTGTACAAACACATAGTAAATGAAGTAAGGAGATTGGAAAGAAAGTGAAAGGACTTCTTTGAGATTTTGAAGATGTTTGAGAAGAAGTTTCTCAGATGAGAGGGGAAACGTCTTCAAGAAACGCAAAGAGGTCCAGTCGCTTTTCTTTCTAAGCTCCTTAGATTACCATGACCTGGATGACTGAGATGCTTCACAGACATATTGAGTGAAGAAGAAACAATGAGTGATCCATAGGAAAGTTTTAAGCCTAATCTTAAAAGTAGAGATAGTGTCTGTCTCCTGAATCCAAACTGGAAGCTGGTTCCACAGAAGAGGGGCCTGAAAACTGAAGGCTCTGCCTCCCATTCTACTTTTAAATACTCTAGGAACAACAAGTAGGCCTGCAGAGTGAGAGCGAAGTGCTCTAATAGGGTGATATGGTACAATGAGGTCTATAAGATGTGACACGGCATACCTTCTGTGACTAGACGAGGTTGGTATTTATGCAGTGGTATGTCACGGTATGGAAAAACAATCTCAGGTATGAGGAAATGAAAAAAGAGGCCGCGAGAGTCAGATAAAAACCGAGTGTAGCAGGTAGAGTTTTTATTATCTATGTTCCTGGATCCTCATCTGCTGGTTATCTGTTCTTGAAAAAAGACCTTAAATCATTTTTGATTTAGGTTTGATTCTATGTCCAGCTGAGATCTGACTGGTCCTTAACCTTAGCTAAATAGAATAAAATAGAGGAGCTACTTTACTCATGCAGTCAGAACATACACCAACTGATGTATTGTGATGATGCAGTACTAAAACAATATAATACATCTAAACAAGAAAAAAGAACCAAAGATATTTGCATTGTAAAAATGCTGTCTTTTAACTGTGCACATAAACATAACAGTAAAACTGTACTGGATCTTAGAAACAAATATATTGAAAGCAATAGATACACAGCAACAAAACCCCATTCCAGATGTGTTTCACTGCCCTAATACAACATGATTTAGGAGAGTCCAGAAACAGAGGCTGTTCAAAACATGAGGGAATCCTGTTTGGTATAAAATGAGTTTAATCTCACCTGCAGAGACGAGTAGGAGGCAGACAGACAGTAAAGTCCAGCAGAGAGACACAGACGCTACAGCAGGCATTTCACACAGATGACCTAGAATGATGTGAATATTTCCAGAGATAAAAACCTCAGTAAACTACAACTTATCAAATAAAGTGAAAGGAACTGAGAGTTTTACCAGGTGTATGCGGGTGGGTGGATGCCTTCAGCTGCTCTCTATGAATGGATTCTGAGAAAGGTGGAGTCAGAGTGATGGAAGTGTTTCAGAGCTGAGCCCTGAGATCCTGTTTTTCAGCTTCTTCCTGGTATGCAGAGATTCCCCTGCATTCTTTGAATCTTTGAGTGACAGTTGAAGACAGAAGCATGACAGGCCATCAGTTTTTCATTGTAACCCTTACAGCTCACCTGGCTGTGACTCTCAGCACTTCTCAGTTTGTTATAATCTGTTTCGTGAAAGTTTGAACTGTTCCTTAAAATGATCAAGAAGTGTTTCAGCAACATGAGCAGGAGTCAGGGCCGGATCCAGTGTTGTGTTTGGGTGGGGAACTAGAAGTAAGAGCTGGGTGTGTTCCTTAATAAACAAAACCTGACCTAGAATAGAAGATTGGTGTGTCAAGATGTAGCAGCTGACTCATTACCTGCACATTTCTTGTTTACAACAGGAACACAGATACACACACAGGCTCATATTTACAACTCTGATTCATCAGAACAACGACAGAGTCACCACTGTACAGACATTTCTATTAAACATGCTGCTTTTTGCTGGGGTACTTTCACATTAAAAGCTCATTAATGAAGGAAGGTGTAAGATTTGTAATGTGAAAGTTCTGGAGTAAGTCCTGAGTGTTGGCACTATAGTCAGTGAACTCAGTGAAGTGAGTTTAGGAAAGCCTTTGTGTAATCCTGTCATTGTGTGTTATGTAAACTGCACAGAAACTGTGTGTGTCACTTAGAAACTAACCAACACAAACAAACTAAGATGGCAGATTTTCAACCTTTAGCTAATTGCTTGATTTAAATTAATTTCATGATCACGATCTAGTTTTATGTGACTAAAAAGTCATAATTTTGACTTTTATTTCATAAAAAAGAAAGTAACCACTTGAACATGTTAGCTTAGATTTATAATTTCATTATATTTGACAGTTGCACTAATTCCAGTCATGTGGTGTAACAGGAAGCAGAGTAAAACTATGGCTATCAGTTTAGAGATCGCTGTTTGGATGTTTGTATTTTAAATGCCCCTCCTCCACGGAGATTCACTCAGTAGTTTAACATGAACACAGAGAGCTGAGATGATTCGGTGTCTGACAAACTTCAAAAACTCATCAGCTTGTGACTCAAACTGAGCCTGAAGATATTTTTTAAATCGTGTTTTCCTTTTTCCTGAGTCAGCACAAAGCCCACACACTCTGTAAACTCCCACTGAGGCTAGTGATGCAGATTCACATTTAAAGTCTTCCGCCATCTGTTGGTAATCTTGGTGTATTACAGCAGAGCGACATATTTCTGCTACAAGAAACATGAAAGTTATTTTAAAATATCCATCCATCCATCCATTTTCAACCGCTTATCCGAGGCCGGGTCGCGGGGCAGCAGCCTAAGCAAAGAGGCCCAGACCCAGTGACACTGATATGCATATTTTATTTTTATTGATCCTGATAATATTGTGCCACAAAGAATTTCTTTTTTCTTTTTCACCACTTAACATTTCATGGACAGATGGGAAAATACTAAACTTTAAAAATGGATACAGTCTTTTTTTAAATCAGAGTTTAACAACAATCAGGCAACTCAACCCCCCTCATCTTTTCTGATTTTTTTTTTACTAGTTTTTCATTTGGCTGGGGTCAGTGTCATTGCTGGTAGCACGAGTCTATACCTGGACCCTACACAGGTTGGCAGTTGGTTGTTGGTCAGTGATGGTCTGGCATATCCTGGATCCTGGGTTCCTCCTGGTGCACAATAATTCCCAGTGCTATGTGGCAAGAGTATGCAGGCAGTTCCTGAAGGCTGAAGAAATTGATGCCACTGACCGGTTCAAAATCCAATTGAACACCTCGGTGACATTAAATTTTCGGTCCACCTCAGATGGTCGAGGAGCTCAGTGATGCCTTATTCCAGGTCTCGGAGGAGACACCATCCATCATTAGCATGACCTGATGTTGTCAGGTAGACATACAAGCACATGGGAGCCATACAAACTGAGCACCAGTATGAGTTACTGAAAAATGGACCAGCCTTCCACATAATCCTTTCACCTTGATGTTTGATGTTTCTTTAAGTTCAGTCTACTAGATAAGTTTCATTTCCATGAAACTATGTGGCATCCCTTTTAACACGCTACCCACTCCATATCATATACCTGTCTAGCATGAGCTTTGACGTCTGATCTATTTTTAAAGTGCTCCTTTAATTGTTTTAAGCAGTATTTTCATGCGGGAGTCCACAAAACAAGTTTGACAAAAAAAAACGGCAAAACACCTTTCTTTGTCTCTTACTCATCAACTGTAACCAGGCAGAAACAGATGTCAGATAAGATCCAGTAACTCTGATCTATCAGAACTGACCTAGTATGAGTGGTTCAGGTTCACCTCCCCAAATACTTACTTTTTTTTTTTTTTTTTACAGTGAACAGATTTTAATCCGACTGTGATGGAAATACTTGCATCATTTTTTTCTGCTTTAAACCTTGATCTCAAGATTGTAAACTGTAGGAATCTAAAGAATGTCTAACTGCCTAAGTGCCAGAAAGGTAACAGAGGTAGATTTTATCATTGGTGGGTTTTTCTTTTTTTCAATTTTCTTTCTTTTTGTTTGTTTGTTTTATTTTCACTGCAACTGAAAAGTGCTGTCTTTGCCCCTTCATCCAGGCTCTTATCACAGGTTTTTTTTCTGTTCATGGTTTTGTGATCTGAAAGAAATGAGAGTAATAAATATATCACATAATATAATATATAAGTAATCCTAAATAAATAATTTTTTTTACAATGAGTGACGAGTGTAGTTTTCATTGTGAGCCAGCATCTTCACAGACAGTCAAAAACCTCACAGCAGGACTTATGAAATCACACTCAACATTAGCACATGTTCACACTTTATTAATAATAAAATAACACAATCAATATAAACTGGGGAAAGGCACAAAAAAATGCATCAAAACTGATGAAGAAAGTTGATAAAACAGGTAACTTCACTACAGAAATGTTCTCATGATCTTCACAAACACAACTCTTTTCCTCCATAGAAAAACATTTAGGCGCTCCAAAGACATTTCCGTGTCCCCCAAAGGAAAACGATGAAAACTGTCATTTTAACTTATTATTATGATGGTTGATTTCTAACTATTTGCAGACTAGACGTACCCACTCCCAAACGCCACCAATCCGAACCAGAAAAACTCCAAAGATGGAAAAAACAAACTCAAGATAAGTTAGACATTTACAGCTGACTACTGTCTGCTGGATTCCCGTCACTGTGAACTCACATCTGTCTTGGAAGCATCTGTCTTTTTGCTACGAAAGGTGGGACGAGTGACACGAGTGGAGCGTTTCAGCTTGCTGCTCGTCTGGGAAGTGCTGTTTTTTTCTCCTTCTGTATTTTCTATCATTTTTATGTAGTATATTATAGTTGCAAAAAGAGCAATAGAAAGCACAATAACAACTGTTAGTCCAACAGCCCCATCCTCTCCGTGTCCTCCTGGCTGACCTGCAGGTGAGAAATAGGTGTGAGGTGTCAGGTATACACAAGCTTCACCTCTGATCACAGGCAACATCTTTTTATGCATTTTGAGTTATCAGTTCACAGCCAAACAACTCTGACAATAACTGAATGTGTCCAAAGCCAAAATGAATTCCACTGACTTACCTGGTGAAATAACCTTTAGGTGGATGACACTGATGGGCTCAGTCTTTAAAATGGCCAACTTTCTACCTTCTCTTACTTCATGGACGACACAACACTCATATGTTCCACTATCAGCCGTCGTAACATCCTTCAGAATCAAAGACACGCCTCCATCCTTCATCTGTCTGTCCTGCAGATCCACCCGGTTCTTAAAAGATGGATGCTGGTAATATGGAACAAATTGTTTTTCCCAGTACCAAAGCACATATTGTGCCTTCAAGTCACGTCTGCTCCACTCTACACCTGGTATGAGGACAGTGTTTGGAGCTCGACATGTCAGAGTGACGTTCTGTCCAGACTCAGCTGTGATGTTTTTCTGGCCTGAAAGACAAAACAACACAGAGCAGAGAGGTTAAAGGACTAACCGATCACTATAGTAGCCAAAAAAAAAAAAAAAAAGTATCATGTTTATTTTTAACTAATTCTTCAACATGTAGCCCTTTACCAACTTTGTCTAAGTTACTGTGGCCATCTAAGAAGAACATATGTTTGTCCACTTATGTTCTACAGGCTGCAGCCAGTAGGAAATACAAGGCACAAAGATCCAAGCTTTGGACCTCTGCTACATGTTTAACTCAAAAAACTTCAGACATCAACAACCAGGAAGCAGCTTCAACTCTACTAATAAACTAAACTCTACCAACTCACTTGGAGGAACAACAGTCAGGTAGGTGGTGCTGATGGGGTCACTATCCAGACTGGCTCTCTTCCTGCGGTTCGCTCCTCTCTGGACCACGTAACACTCGTATGCTCCCGAGTCATCAGTCGTCACATCCTTCAGAATCAGAGACATGTCTCCATCCTTCATCTGTCTGTCCTGCAGATCCACCCGGTTCTTAAAAGACGGATGCTGCTCTTCTGTATCAAGCTTATCGTCCCGGTAAAAAAGGACATATTCTTGCTCCAGGTCAGCTCTGCTCCACTCTGCAGCTATGATGGGGTTGCCGCTGTTTGGAGCTCGACATGGCAGAGTGACCGTCTGTCCCGGCACAGCTATGATGATTTTCTGGTCTGAAAGAGGAAACAACAGAGTGGTTAAAGAGATGCAAGTAAAACCAGTCACTACACAGTTGGGAGCAACTGCGAGATAAGTGAGCTTTTTACTGTAAATTGCTTCAGACAAACACAAGGGGCACATTCATTTAAATACATTTCTCTTCAATCAGGCTACCAACTAATATAATTCCCTTACCCATGTTGATCAGCCAATGGGATAGTTTTAGATCTCTCCTCCACGGTCTCACTGAACTCTGTCACACACACACAAACACACACACTCTCTGACTCACTCACTGGCCTGCACCAGTTACCAGTCACTTTGTGGAGCATTGGACTGCCATTACCTCATAAGACTTTGTTGTTACACTTTCTCTTACCGTACACTACTAAATCTCCATTTGCACTATTTGCCTATTTGCACTACTCTGCCTGGTTTACACTCAATGTCACTTACCCATTATATTGTATATTGTATAGCTTTCTTGTTATATGTAAAATTGTATTTATTTAAATTTTTACTTTTTAATTATTTTACTTGCATTTTTAATCACTTTTATATTTAAATATATTTAAATGTTCATTTGCTATTTATCTAGGGATTGAGAGTAACGCAATTTCTATTCTCTGTATGTCCTGTACATGTGGCAGAATCGACAAATAAAGTTGACTTTGACTTTTGAAATCAGCTTTTAATGTTGTGTCATATTTCAAATATCAAGTTTCAGAGGAGGTCTACTATGCACTGGTGCACAGCACTAAGTGGTCAACCATCCATTTCTGTGTTTGGGGTCACATCCATTGTATGTGGAAGAAGAGTGAAATGATGAGTCCAACAACTCTCTTTTTTATGTGAAAAGTGAGTGCTCACTGGGCCTGATCAAGAAGAAAAGTTGATGACCTCCATCCAAATGGCCTAGCTTTGCAAGGGAATCCTAATGAATCTCGCTTGCAAAGGTAGGCAGTAAAGCTCAGAACAGCAATTTATGCTTCACTCAAACGACTGATAATGGAGCATTAATCTGGAATCTTGCAGCGAAGTCTACTAAATTCAAGTTTTACATTTTTAAATATCTGTTCTAGCTACTAATGCTGTTTGAAATTCAATGACAGTGACACTCTTCTGTGAATAGTGAAAGGTAAGGTCATGCAGTTAGTTCAAAAATAAAGATCTTTTTTGTCCCAATGAGAAGCTTTTATGAAAGATTATTTTTTTGCCAACTGATTACTGCACCCATCCTTGTGCTAATGACAGACTGCTGTGCAAGAACTGATTCAACCTGACTCGTTATGCTTGAAAAACACAAACTTGTGCAGATAAGCAGATATCAGATGTGCTCTGATGTGAACTTTGACATGACCTGTAGGTATGAGGATATGAAGCAGGTGTAGCAGGAGGAGAGGACAAGCTCGGGCAAACAGAGTGTTAATGCTGTTAAACGACTCAGCTCTCCTCCTGGAAGAAAGCCACATTTCTTTGTGAATCACAGTGTTTGCTGAAACTGCTCTGGAGCAGGAACAGTCAGAATTAAGCTTTAACTCTTTAACTTTAGGCATATCTGGCAGGTCATACAGTTAAACACACTTTTTTAAACCATGAACAGAATTCTTAAAGAGGTATTATTTTATCAATCAGAAATTCAATCTCACCTGCAGAGACAAACAAGAGGCAGACAGACAGTAAAGTCAGGCAGAGAGATGCAGACGTTACAGCAGACATTGCTTGTTCATTTAAAGTGCGATAAATGTCCAAAAGATGGTGGTATTTTTCAAGAATCACAGAATCCCTGAGTTTAAAATCTGATAAAGGAAGCTGAAAGTCTGTGAGTGTGATAGCAGGTATCTATGTTGTTTTTGTCATGGCCATCTGCTGTTTCTACCTCCTCATTTCTGCCTCTGTTTCTCTCTGCAGGTGAAGAAGAGATTGAGGTTGTCTGGTTCCCTTGTTTGGCCCTGCCCAGAGGCGGAGTCTCTCCTGTTGACCTTGTTACCTGTTTGCCTTAAATTCTTTACTGCAGCGGATTTAAAGACCAGCTTTCGCCTTGTGTCCCCCTCTAGTACTTTGGCATTGCAATGGATACTTCTCCTCTTTCACTTCTACACTAAGAGAAAAAATAGTGATAACCATGTTGAGTTTTATCTCTCCTGATTAATTTTTCTGTGGTTTTACTTTTGCCAGTGTCCTCCATTATCCAGCATGGCATGCCGTTTTCCCTTTTTCATCAGCTTTTGACCTTTATGTCCTTGCGTACTGGATAATGCATCGAAGGACCAATTTAAAATGTGGCATATTTAAGTTTCTGAAACTCTTCTTTAGCGTGTGAGTAAAATGTAACCATAATACAAAGTAGGTTGATGTTGCCTGCTTGATGTTTGGCTGTTAAACTGCTGTCATTTATAAAGCAGCTGCTCTGCTGTAAAACTTAGATTAACCAGCAGATGGCAGCAGAATTTAAAAGTTATTAGTAATTCCAAAGTTCAATGGTGAGCGGTTTAACAGGAGATTGGTGGTTCAGGAGATGTGGTCGAAAAATAAGTCGGTTCTGATTCACATGAATTCACAAATTTAGCCTGGTGTGGTTTGATGTTTATTTAAGTTTCCGTTTTAAATCTTTTTAGACTCACAGAATCACACGAGGAAAACACGCAAGACGAACACTCAAAGCACTTTCGCTTTCTATTGCAAGTCTCATTCACACATACATTATTGCAAGGATAAATATTGTAATATTCACAGACACACTCATATGCATGCATTGGGGGAAGCTCAAAGTTCAGTATCCTGCCCAAGAATCACCTGACAAACTACCAATCAAATTACCATCTGAACCACAGTCACCAGAACATTTTAACATTTACTGTTCACATTTTAAATTTTAGAGAAAATTCACATAAAAGATAAGATAAAATAATGTATACAAGTTAAATAAAAACATATTAAAAATATATATTGTTAACTTGTGGATCTCTGGTTTGAAGTGCTGGGGAGACCAACTAGAGACCAGCAGCGGGACGTCAATGGTTGTACTGGTGGACTACTTCAGTGAAGAGTAGACAACGTCTGGCTCTGGTTTAAAGTCTGAACACAAACACACACAGTTCAAACAACAGAAAACATGATTAAAAGCTTTGTAGTTCAATCAAGACCTTGGTTGCTCTCTTATTTACACTCTTACTTACATTATTTACAATCTCCACCTCTCTGCATCACACACAGTCCCAGTTCAGACTGAGCTTGAGATATGATGCAATTATATTAGCTTAGCTTAGCATGATGGTGAGCCGGGGGAGCAGCTAGCTTGTTTAAAGTTAAAGTTAAAGAGCGGCTGTACCTGGTCCTCCTGGCTCTGATGGCTGTTCGTCCATTACTCATATCTTCAGTTTTCACTGCTGAGTAGACTGCAGCTGAGTAACTCTCTGCAAAATAAAAAACCTTTGACATTGTACAAAATCTGTATGACTGTCATATTATTGCAAAGGTTGTTTTTATTCATAATGTTGCACAGTGTAGAGATTGAGCTTCACACGCTTTTCTTATCTTAACATCTCTGCTATGAAACTGACCACATAAATCTGAAGGATGTTTCTGTGAAAGAGAAAAGAGGACAACCACAAAGCTGCAAACATCTGCTTTTAGTGCACACTGATGCACTTCACCACAGAGCAAAGACCTTCACAACATCAACACTATTACTGGCCAAACCAAGAGACACTGTGTTGAGAGGCTTCACTATCTTCAGACTACTGTAAACTAGAATCATCAGCAGGATGACTGTATCTGGTCAACATGCCATAAAGAACAAGATAATTATAAACTTTATTATAGCCAGATTCTAATTTTCATTTTGGAGAATGAGAAAGACTGGATTTAAAATGTTAGCATCATAAAATGTTAGCATCATAAAACTATAAAAAGACGTCCTTGATGAAATTATTCACTTTGAATTCATGATGGTCTGTGAGCAGAGTTTAAAGAAATCATTTTCCAAATGATGTCTCCGTGTTCCTTCCTGTGTTTAACATGAACAGCTCTGTGCTGAAACACCTGCAGCTGAAGTGTTTTTTAAGCTTAGCTAAGCATTATTGCTGGAAACAGGGTGAGTTACCTGGCCCTTCTTGTTCTGATAGTTTTTTGTCCATAACTGTCATTTTTAGTTTTCACTGCTGAGTAGACTGCATCTGAATCCGTCTCTGCAGAAGTAAACAATCAGAATTATGTGAAATTACAACAGGTATAACAACTGCACAACTTTTATACTATAGCAGAGCTGTGGGAAACTTTCTACCCTAATGTTGCATCATGAAGAGAATAAGCGACAACTTTAAAAAACCACAGCAGCATTTCATAGTTTTTTTTTAATCTTAATGCCACTGCTATGAAAAAAAAAAAAGATTGGCCACATGAAGCTGAGGGGCGTTTCTGTGAAAAAGAAAAGCGGACGACCACAAAGCTGCTCCTGCCTTCAGTACAGATTGACTTGCTTCACCTCAGCACAAAGCAAACACTTTCTCACAGTATAACCATTATTACTGTCCAAACTAGGACAAACTGCAGTGAGAAGCAGCTTCAGACTACAGTTAACTGGAATCATCAACATGTGCTCAACGTGTCAGGATGGTACAGAAACTACTAAATTATCAACGTTATAGACGTCAGATTCGTTATAGAGACTGGGAAATGCTTTTAAATTAATTTTAAAATGAACAGTCCTGTGTTGAAACACCTGCAGCTGAAGTGTTTCTTTCTATCAGAAACAGGATGCTGGACGACTGCAGAGATGTTAGCTTCAGTTAACCACAGACCACAAACACACAGTCCAGCTCACAGTGAACAACAGTAAGTACAGTGTGAGACTTTAGTCAAAGGAGCTTGCAAAGAAAAGCGTCTGGACTTCTTTAAGTTGCTTGCCCAGGATGTGAGTGGGCCATCCTGGGCCATCTGCCCTCAGGAATTCGCATGATAAGGTGGGGCCAGGTTTCACAATGAACACACCTGAAACTCTGGCTGATTGGGACCCACACCCAGTTTCACACCTTGGCTCAGGCGATTAGAGGATGTGAGACTTTACAGACAGACGGTTATATTTGACAAAACTGATCAAATTTTACATAAAGAAATAAAATTCATTTATAATCTATAAACATAAACGATTTATTGTGAAAGCATCAAATCATAAAAATCTTTATTTTACTGTTCAACAATCCACAATTTTACACAAACTGAAATAAAAAAATACATGATCACACATAATCCAGAATGTCCTCTTAACCCAACACATCATAATGACAAGCAAGTGTTCATGAACCTATATCTGATTTTATTTTCATATTAAACTAACTTTTAGATTTAAATCTGAGGAGGAAAATGTTTGCTTACCCACATTGTTACATGTTTGCAGTTCCCTGACTATCTTCACTCCTACTTTCAATACATTATCTCAGATTGTAAGGCTGCATTAAAGCCTTTCTAAAAGCAAATCTAACCACTCAGTGTCCTGCCTGGCAACGCCTGTAAACAGATATTTGGGAAGTTTTATTGAAATCTACGGCAAATAGATAGAAAATGTCATTTAAGCTGTGAAGTCTGCACATGAAAGAATGTGTGTGAAAAATCAAAAGATAAAATCTGCGTAAAAATTTGTTATGATGAAAAAAAGAGCCCACTACCTTGGATTTCTCTGATTGGCTCTTGTTGATTTTTTGATATGTTGATTATACTGCACATGATGTCAGTGATGACTTCATCTTCTCCAGCTTTGTCTTGTTCTGCTAAGATGATCCATTAGATTAACTATCTAAACAGAGATTACATGTTAGAACGTTTGACTGTGATCATATTGAATGTGAACTTTATTCGACTGAACAAACTCAAACATGAAAGATCAGGAAGTCTGAGTCTCACCTTCAGGTTTCCTGTGGACACATCGCCTCACCAGCAGAGCCAGTAACACCAGTAGAATCACAATACAGACTGATCCAACAGATGACAACACAGAGAGAATAGTGGGAGAGTGTGATGAAGGTGCAGATGTAGGTGGAGGTGTGGATGTAGGTGGAGGTGTGGTGGTGTGTTCGTCTAAAATAAAGCAAACACAGTCATTAAGTTGTCGTCACATTGTGAATGTTGAAAGCTGCAGAAACACAGACAGGTGAGTGTGTCACCTGTGACAGTGATCCAGCTGGATGGAGACTCTCCATGACCGCTGATGTCACACTTGTAGAGGCCTTCATCAGACCTGGAAACATGCTGGATGGTCATGTGACCTGTAGGCTGCTTCCTGATGAGGGAGCCATCTTTATAGAAAGCAGCTGGGAGGTTGGAGGGAGTGGTCTTTGTTTTACAGAGCAGAGTGACGTCATCTCCCTCCATCACAGGGAGGACAGGACTCTGCAGGATCACTGATCCACCTCAACACAGAGACAAACTACAGCATTTCATCCATTTACACACAGCTTCATCAACACTAACTCCACACACTCAGCTTACCAGTGACTGTCAGGTTAACCATGTTACTGATGGGACCCTCTCTGGACTCACACCAGTAAATTCCACTTTCTAATGAGTAGATGTGACTGATGTTACAGGAAGAACCAGCTGGTGTTCCCCATTCCTCACACTCAGCTCTGTTGTCTGTTGCTGTGTTTCTCCTCAGAGTCCATCCAGCAGAGCTGTCGTCCTCCTCACAGCTCAGAGACACAAACTCTCTTTCAAAGAACTGAGAGCTGCTGGGACTCACAGTCAGACGAGCTGTGAGGGTTAAAGTGAAAAACGATTAGATTTTATTTTTTTCTTCAGTTTTATATGTGACCTTCATTGTGAAACATGAACCCAATCAGGTCATATCAGTGAGCATTTCTCAGGTTTAAACTGTGAC